GTAGGGAAGGTGGTAACAGATGAGTAGAGTCGGTGGGAGTTCAATGGGAGAATGAAGCGATACTAGTCAACGTGACAGTCTGAGATATGTCCATGCCAGCACCCTAATTTGCATGTAGCAGTGGAACAACACCTGGAGTCCCAGTAGCACCTTCCCACCTGACTCCTTATCTGCTGGTGCAGTTCAGATCTATCAGCTGATGGGATACACTGCATCACTGTGCTTTCTGGCACCAAGTAAAACACCATGTGAAAATATATTACATCAACATTGTTACCTTTAGCATTCAAACTTGTAATCACACCAAAAAGTGTTGGTAGTTTGACAAGTTATATTTTCCTGTAAAGTCTGTGTTGATTGGCAGTAATTACACTGTCCTCCTTTAATCCTTTATTAACTGAGTCTTATATCAGCTTTTTCATTATTTTGTCTGGAATCAATGTCAGGCTGACAAGACTGACATGTCTCATCCTATTTCAACCTTTTAAAATACTGGTATAACACTAGCATATTTTTCAGTCTTCCACATTCCCCTTTTATTTCAAGACTCATCAAAAAAACTGAGAGTTCATTTGGCAGCTCTTCTAAGGCTCATGGTAGTGTGGGCTGTAAGCTACCCTCTGGTCTCTCTTCTCCTTGGTGAACTGCTGTAAGTGATGGGGTTGTGGTCTCCAAGGAAACGTCCATACACTGAAAGCTAGTTGAAGTGGTTGTTTGCTAAAGTTATGATGAAAGCAGTAAACACAATTTGGCTTCTCACTTGATAGGACTGGCCAATTGCATGTGGCAATACAAGTGGAATACTGCATCTTGGGGCCATTCAGGTCTTCTAGTCTCTTGGATTCTCTGCCATTTGCAGGCCAACAGAGTGGGGTGGAGGTTGTTTGGTTTTGGTTTTTTTTGTTGTTGTTCCATGATTCTCAGGAGATACCAAAGAGCTGTTCTGTGGGATGAGGTTACACCTTCTGTAATAGGAGTTATTACTGCTGCAGTGTTCTGCAGTGTTAACATGCCTGGCTCTGGATCCAAGGAACACGCAGCTCAGTATTGTGTTTACCACCTCCTACTGCTTTTTTTTGTTTTTCTTTAAGCTGAATATTTCTGCCCACTGTTTTGTTTGGGTTTTTTTGTTTGGTTTGTTCATTGGTTTGGGTTTGTTTGGTTTTGGCGTTTTTTTTAAAATAAATTTCTTTTTGTCCTAAGTCACATTTGTGAGCAGGACACTGCTAAGTAATTTGAGGGCCACGTCACGGATGTTTTTTGGCATCTGGTAGTAGACAGATGTACATTTTAGTATCTTTTTAAAAATCAGTAAATACATTTTTAAAAAAAATCAACTTCATTGCCACTAAAGTGCTTATGACCTCTTGTTCACCTATGTGAACTTTTCCTTTAGGCTTTATAGTAATTGACTACTTTGGGATGGGCAGAGACATGCTAATGGTATAGTGGAACAAAGAATGCTTTAGTTTCGGTTCAGCGGAGACTTGGAGGAAGAAGAAAATCAGTGTTTGCCAAGGACCTTTTCAGGAGGCTTTAAAAATTGACACAGATGCCAGTTTGTTGATGTTCCTGTTACGCAGTAGGAGACCTGCAGATTAAAGTTTACTGGTTTATGATAGTTACCTAGCTTTGCGAAATGCTTCTGTCTCTCCTCACTTTGTTTTAATAGGCATCTATTCGGTTATGTGCATATCAACAAACAACATTTTTCCTTGCATGAACATAGATCATGTTTGTCTGTTCTGGCTTTGCCACCAGACTTTATCTGTTTAAATGGAATCCAGCACAGTTGCTCTGAGTCCTCCACCTCGTGGAGAGATCCAGACTCAGCATGGCTTAAGGGCTGAGTGATACAACACTCTACATTTACAGTTTTTGAGTGATTACATATACAGTTTTTGAGTGATTTTGTTGCTGTTTCAGGGTAATAGATTCAGACCAGAGACTGAACACTTACAGGTATTCAAAGAATGAGCTTGATATTACAGATTTTTCCATAGCCCACAGCTATTCAGAGTATGACCTGCTACAAGAGTAATAATGGTGCAGGTTTGGATATCTCAGCTGGAGTTGCCAAAGCTGTCTGTGGCCTTGTTACACTGGGGTAGGGCAGAGGCTGTAGGTGAAACTAAGACTCAGTTGATAGCCTGTCTTTAATTGGGATCTAGGAGTTCAAACTGTAATGTTCAGCTGCTGTTTTCCCAAAATCACTGTTGTGGTTTAACCCATCAGGCAGCTAAACACCACACAGCCGTCCACTCACTTCCCCCCCACCCCCAACCAGTGAGATGGG